GCGCACGCTTCGATGTTGGGTTCAGCAAGCAAAACAGACATGGTGATTGGTAGGAACAGTTTTAAGCTACGAAGTTGCTGATACAGTTTGGTTATTTTTATAATAATAATAGTTTTATAACAATATTTATAATAATATATTTATAATAATATATATTTTCTAAATGTTTGAAATTGGAAACAAGCGTTTGCTCGAGAAATTTGTATTTTCCATAAAAATCTGTCGATAACACATTTGGTCGAACTAAAGACTGTTCGCGATTGTTTCGAGAACCGGGATCGACGTTCGCGCAGTTTCCAAGCCTCGATTCGAAATGTCGTGTCGGCTTCCAAGGTACAGTAAATTCTCCCTAATTTACTGTTAAATTATTCGCGCCTCGCGGCTCGCTTTTATAGTCGGTTATCATCAGCAATTGTAAAAACAAAGTGCAAGGCTGGAGTAATCGTACCTCCTCTTCCCAAATTGCCCACTTTTGTTTACAAGCCGAAGGAAAATTAGGGAGAATTTACTGTGTCGGTCGTTTCACGCGGTCCGAGTGTCACTGGTTACGCGTTTACTAGCCGTCGCGTTAGAGCGAGAGAGATCGCGGGTGATTCTGTAGAGATGGACGCGAGTTAGGAGAAGGATCGAGAGAGAAGCAAAGAGAGAGAGAGAGAGAGAAAGAGAGAGAGAAAGAACGAGTGAGAGAGAACGAGAGAGAAAGAGAGAAGGAGAGCGAGAGAGAGAGAGAACGAGAGCGAGAGAGAGAAGGAAAGAGAGAGAAAGAGAGAGAGAGAACCAGAGCGAGAGAGAGAGAGAGAGAGAACAAGAGCGAGAGTGAGAGAGAGAACAAGAGCGAGAGAGAACAAGAGCGAGAGCGAGAGAGAGCGAGAGAGATAAGGAAAGAGAGAGAGAGAGCGAGAGCGAGAGAGAGAGCGAGAGCGAGAGAGAGCGAGAGAGATAAGGAAAGAGAGAGAGAGAGAAAACGAGAGCGAGAAAGAAGGAGACGGACCCGCGAGCGAATTATCTGGTATTTTCTTTTCAGCTTGCGGAGCCCGGAGTGGCTAAGCAAAGGTCAAAAGTTGAGCAATGCTCTCGTTATCGGTGCAAACACTGGCTTCGCATGTGCAGTGCGCCGGCACCGAGCGTTCGGTGCTGTCGTCGAAGAGAAGCTCGATCGCGAATGTTCGCCTCCTCTATCTTTTTATTTCTGCCCGATGATCCCCCATCTCGGTGTTCGGTGGCCATTCTACGGTTCCGGTGATCGTTACAGTGTCCACGCGCAGATTATCGGCCGCCGCTTCTCACGGTTCTCGTGCAAAACGGTCCACGGACGTTGCGATCCGTTTGCCCGTCGAGCCGCGAGGCCGCGTTCTCCTGTCGCGTTACGATTTTTAACGGTACGCAAATTACGTACGATCGATCCTACACGATCGATCCTCGACTCGGCGCTTTACTCCGAAAATGTCGAGCACGCTTTTCGGACGATTATTATTGTCACATAAAATAAATCAGTCTCTCGTAACGTTCGCACGATTATTATTATCTTCGTCGAAGAGTCGCGTCTACTCTGGAAACACTTTGGCACTTTTATTGCCAATCCAGCGTCCTCGCAAATCAAAATAATTTATTCGACGAAATGAAAATTGATTAATTAAGCTGTTCAACGTTTCTTGCATTTTCTAGATTTTAATACTTTATTTACCAGAAGCCTGCTAATAAACCTTTGCGCTACGATTCCTTTCGCAATTGCGTACAATTGTGAATATAATTTAATACAATTATAATAATAATATAATTGGTATGATTAATGAAAGTCAATTGGTATAATTTCTCTGACGGGACGAGACAATTTTTCCTGGAATTTTTCCAAGATTTGTAAATCTTGCCGACAGGAGAAACAAATTTCGTTTCGATTCGAAAGAAATGAATAACACTGATTTTTAGCAACGGGTTAAATAGAGTTTTCGATCATTGTACTATCCTAAAGGCGGTGTTTCGTAAATATTTTAATCGATGATAGTTAATAATTCCAAACGAAATTATCACGTATTATTATTTCTGAGAATTACACGATTAAAATTACCGTTACTAGTAAACAATTCATTAAGTGAAATTATTTCCGGCAGATAATGTGTTAATCTGAATATATTGCGGCAAAAATGCATTTTTGAAGGAGAAATAATTCTTTCTTTTATTGTGGGCAGAGAGAAAGAGAGAGAGAGAGAGAGAGATGAGGAGAGGAGAGAGAGAGGAGAGAGATGGAGAGAGGAGACAGAGAGAGAGAGAGAGAGAGAGAGAGAGATGGAGAGAGGAGGCAGAGAGAGAGATGGAGAGAGGAGGCAGAGAGAGAGAGAGAGAGAGAGATGGAGAGAGGAGGCAGAGAGAGAGAGAGATGGAGAGAGGAGGCAGAGAGAGAGAGAGAGATGGAGAGAGGAGAGAGATGGGGAGAGGAGAGAGAGAGATGGAGAGAGGAGAGAGGAGAGAGAGAGAGAGAGAGCACCCAGAGCGTCGACGATCGCTATTTACGATCGCCGCCGATGGTGCAAGACGAAGAAACGATTCCGTTTCACTGCAACGAAAAACCTGAATCATCACGGAATTCTAATCTGTCGTTGTACTACAGCAGACGTTGGCCATGCGACGCCGATTTCCGGTAAACAAGTGTATCGAACGAAGTTGCGCAACTCGTTGGACGATAAACCGTAGAACGTGATTATATCATAGCAGTTTTAATGAATTTTATTTCGAAGATTGTACTGGCCGAAAGATGTTCGGTTATGCTTTCTTTTTTTCAGTGTCTCGAGCATCGTTCCCCGAGTCATCCTTCATACGTCCGTTACTAGATTCTTGGTGTTCTGTTATTATAACACTGCTAGTACAGTTATGCATCGTTGCCGTTTCGAAGTTCTCGGAGACGCGTTACCCGAAACTTCGAAAGCGAAGCGGACGCTTTCCACGATTCCACGGATCGCGATCCTTGGAAACATGTCCCTTTCCAAGGTACATCCATCTAGATATTGCATCGAATTAAACGGCCTGTACTTTTCATTACAAGAGAATCTCGGCTATCCTAAGCGATCGGCGATTACAACATTTATTTATAGCTAATAGATTCTATTCTTCTCTCGCCGAACTATCCACTTGCGAAACGTGTATTGTATATCGAAAGAATTTAGGTGTCCCAAAATTATGGTACATCCAGGAAATGAGGGATTTCTGACATTGTTTGAAGCAACTTTTTCCTTAGCGAAAATGCAATCCGCCGTTTCGTTTACCAGTTATTAACGAAAAACGGCGACCAATGAGAGGCGACCTCGGCTGGCGCGAGGCAGCGCAGTCAACGAGCGCGCGAAGCCCAGTTCCGCTGATTGGTTCGGCCGCCTGGCGCTAGGCGAGCTCGCCTCTCATTGGTCAGCGTTTTTCGTTAATAACTCGTAAACGAAGCCAAGGATTGCATTTTCGCTAAGGAAAAAGTTACTTCGTATCGCCTCAGGAACTCCTCATTTCCCGGAGGTACCACAAATTTTAGACACACTATATAGTTCCTAGGAGCTGAACGACTAGATACGACGACCTTCGAAATGCAGTTACCGGCGCCAAAGAGCGATGAAAATTATTTGACTCTGCAGCGTGTGTGCGCGTAGCCGGAAACGAAACGGTGGAACAAAATAGCAAGACAAAGGGTTAATTACGCGGCGAAAGAAGTGAACCAAGCAGGGGATATTGGCGTGAAACTTGAACTTGACATCGCCGACATGCCAAGCTATAGATAAATTAATCGCAAACCGTATCGTTATTGTTATACACGTTATATTAATTATTTATTAACCGTAAAGCTTCGGGATCGAATGACGGATATGATGGATCTCGAAAGAAGTTGATACGATATATCTTCGTTTGTGGATCATTCTGAACTTTCCCGGGCGTTCTTACTTCTTCGTTCTTACTTCCTGATCCTTCTCCAAAAAGTTAGGCTAATGATAACAATACTTATATTTAACAATATATAATATAAATAATATAATAATATAATATATAATAATATATAATATATAATATAATAATAATATATTTTATATTATATTATATTATATTATATTATATTATATTATATTATATTATATTATATTATATTATTATAATATATTATATATTAACCCCATTTTCTTCGCAGTTATTGCGATTAGAAATTTCTCTCGATTGCAATAATTTCTTAGAAGGAAATGAAAATTGATGCTTATCGTGCGCCTAAATTCATTCGAACGCTTAAATATTGCAGAGATTAGAATTTTATTCCAATTTTAAAGGACAGAATAACAATAATCCATGCTACTAGAAATTACTATATATTACTAGAAATTACCATCGCGAGTCGGACTCGTCAAAGCACGGCAAGTGGTTAATAGCTTTCTACGTAATACGTTGCCGTGTCCTTTTCTACGACGATGCAATTATCCATACGAAATATATAGATAACAAGAGTCTCGATTAATTAAAACTTATTTTGCCGTACATCTCCGCGGAGATACTTTTTAACGATCGTAAACGATCTTACGAATCTTCTATACGTCTCTCTCAGCGGTAATTAATAATTCCACGCGGTAATTAATAATACGATCGAAAATATCGAACGAAACCGAGAAGATTCTTCGAATCTGAAATGAAAATTACATTTTCATTAACCGACTCGTTATCGAGATTCCCGGCCGTTCGGAAAGCGCGACCGAGTGGCTGAAATAAAAGAAAGGCTCGCATTTTCGGCGGTACGTCGCGGCGGCCGATTTTCCAAGAGGGGCGCCGAGGCGCGCGTCGGCGCGGCGCCGTGGTCCCGCGCGCCGGTTTCGCCGCAACAAAGCTTCCGGCTGGCTGTCTAACGAGAGATAAACGGATCACCGATAAAAAGAGGCATCCGTGTAGGATGGAAAACGAGAGGGAACGGGCAAAAGAAGAGAGGCACCAGTTACGCGTATAATGTACGAGTCCTGAGGAGGAGCCGGAGAGTCCCTTCCGGAGGCGCGGCGCCGCGCCGCGCGCCACGGCACGACGTTGTGACTATAAGTAAGTCTCGCGCGGCGCGCCGCGGTTTAATGCCGCTGCCGCGTTCGTGGCGCCAAGAGGAGGGCCCATTGGCGACGATAAGCCTCCTTCGTGTCCGGCACGAACGGGAGAAAAAGAAACCAGCGAACGAACAGAGAGATAGAGAGAGACCGGGAGGGAGAGGCGAGAGAGCGGGAAAGGGACAGAGATAGAAACACGGAGATAGACGCGCAGCAGCCAGCTTTCACCCGCGTTTCAGCAGCGAGTGAGCATACGTATGTACACATATATGCCCCGTTCGGGGTGTGGATCGCGACAGTGTAGATAATACGTAGCTGTCAGCCGTGTCCGACCAGTGTCAGTCTAGAGTTAGTTAGTGACGGTGAACGGAGTGGCTCGAGTGCGTACCGTCCGAGATCGGAGTTTCCAACCCTCCGTCGACCGAAGCGTTACGCGCGGCACCTTTATCCACCATCGTCGTCCCTTCGCTTCTCGCCGACGGAAGGACCGCGTCGACCCTGTCGTCGACACCGGGCGACAGCGAGAATCGGGTCGGATCGAGGGGATCGCGGACCTCTTTCCTTTCGGCAACGTCGACCGCTGGCGCGTCCCGAAGACGCGGGGGTAGAAGACACACGGAGGAGGGTCGCAGAACACGCGCGACGGCTGTTCGACCGCACGGCGCGGACCCACACGGTCAACGGACCGGTAGCTAAGGGCACCGGCGGCAAAGTGTTAGTGATCGAGAGAGACCGCAACCAGCAAGAGGTGGTTGGGATCGCAGGGGGTGCGCATGGTCCGTGCGGCCTGCACCGAGATCAGGCCAGTTGACCAGCGCGGACCTTTCTACTGCCGGTTTGGATGTTGATCGTCGCGGTTCAGTCTTCACGCTCCTAGAAACGAGACCATGTCCGGGCTGTTTTACACGCTTCTAGGGCTGGCGGCCAGCACGAGCCTCCACTGCGCCGTCCGCCGCGAGATAAGCCCGTGCACCTGCCGACAGGAGGGGTTCTCCAGCCCCGCTGTCAACCCGGCGGCGGCAGCCGCGGCCGCTGTCAATACCGCGAACAATGCCGGCCACCACGGCCACGGGGAACGGATCGAGGTGATGTGCGAGCGCATGGACTCGTTCGAGCAACTCGCCGGGGCGCTCAGGGGCAAATTCACCGCGGAGCAACAGATCACGCTGAGGGTGTCGCACTCGAACCTGCGGGACATATCACGGCACGACTTCAAGGAGCTCAGGATGTCCATCACCAAGCTCGAGCTGAACCACGATCATCTGGGGTGAGTGGATCCGCGTCGCGCCAAGCCGGTTCGGGTTCGTCTATCTTACACGGGAAATCTAACGGTCCCGAAACCGACCAATCCGCGCTGCTTACGACAACCGCGAAGAGATCGTATTTATTTCAGGGCGATTCTCGCGAACGAATCCAGCCTGCGAAAGAAGTTTGGAAAGTTTAGAATTTCGGCTACTTTGAGAGAAAACGCGCGAGAGACCGGTGATTTCGACCGCCTCGGTGGATCCGGCGCGTTAACCCCTCGGCTCTAGGATTTCTCTTTCTGCGATCGGAACGTTCTCGCTGCTCGCAATTTAACCCGAAAACGCACCTCTTTAGCGCGATTAGCGGCAAAAAGTGTTGGCGAATTGGAAGAGTAGAGTTTCGTTTCGGTTTCAGCAGAAGCCGTCTGAAACGTTTATCGCCGTGGCACGGATCTTTGCGCGAAACGAATGTAGCAATTTGTAAACTTTCACCGCGAACACCGACGCGTTTATCGCGCTCGACCTGACCAATTTTTACGCGGAATTTATCGAGTCCACAGTGTGTTGTTTATCCTAGACGCTACGAGGAAAAGACAGCTGCGCGGCGTTGCTGTTTTTCTTCGCGTAGATTCGATAACCGACGATCGCTTCGTCTCGATACGCCGAGGGTTAACCGTGACGGCACTGCTTTCGTATGATACTGGAACTATCCGTCGCGTGGAAATTACGGTTGACAGATTTTTTGCGGCCGGAGTTCGAGCGCGCGAGTATCGTCGAGGCTGCGAGCGCACAAAGGGAAATGCGTTTCACGTTGATTCGCACAGCCGTCCGTTATCAATCGCGCTGGCGATCCTGGCCGTTTGATGAATTAAAATAGTAAGAATGAACGCGTGACAGCGAGATTAGAAACGGGCAATATTCTCTGGAACATGTCGAGGAGATAGCAAACGCGCGTATCGAGTCGTTCGGCGACGAAGCGTCGCGAACGACGGTGTTCGATTCGACGGAATCGCCGGCAGCTTTCGCGTGCTTTTTCGTCCAAGTGGAAAGTCCCTCGTTGTTCGTTTCGTTGCTCCGAAAGTGTTTATCTCGTGCAGCGTTCGTGGTTCTAATGACCGCACGGATGCCTGTACAAACAGCTCGGCGTAGCTCCGCTATCGTCGGAACGATTAACTTTCGTTATCTTCGAACAGGATTTCGCCTAGAAGATAATTCCCGATGTCGAATAATAAATTATGTAGCCTCTCTCGTGTCCCGTTCGACCGGCGTTAGGTGAAAGGTTGACGTTCCGTCGCATCTATTATTCGACAAATTTTATCTGGACAGCTCCGATTATCTTCGTAAAGAATAACGCGCGTCACCGCTGTGTCAATGGTCAGGGCTCGAAATGGAGGCATGATTTTGTTTCAATAATCGACGCGAGCAATAGACGTTCCGTATCGAGGGTTCGCGCGAGTACGCGAATACTCGGAAATGGAATATTATCTTGCTGCGAAAAACAACGTTCGCGCCTGTCTCTCCTGTTTCGTAACGTACGGACGACGTTCGCGCGGTCGTCGAACGTAATGTCATAATTAGGCGGTGATTTTTCACGCGTTTCTGATCAAAACTGGAATATTTAGGACAGAGCACAAAAAATTTTATAAATCAATATAAAAGTAACAATGAGACGTTTATTCTGATTTTGAACAAATGTTATATTGTAATATTTGTCGTGAGTAACATATAAATTGAATAAATAACTCGTAAATGTATCTTTACGATACGAATAATCGGATACGAAGCACAAAAAACAGCTGTTTTATATCAGTTTATAAAAGTAACAATGAGACATTTATTCTGATTTTATATTAATTTATAAAAATAACAATAAGCCATTTATTCTGATTTTGAACAAGTGTTATAACGTACCATTTGCCGTGAGTAACATACAAATTGAATAAATAACTCGTAAATGTATCTTTACGATACGAATAATCGGATACGAAGCACAAAAAACAGCTGTTTTATATCAGTTTATAAAAGTAACAATGAGACATTTATTCTGATTTTATATTAATTTATAAAAATAACAATAAGCCATTTATTCTGATTTTGAACAAGTGTTATAACGTACCATTTGCCGTGAGTAACATACAAATTGAATAAATAACTCGAAAATGTATCTTCACGATACAAACAATCGTAAACTAAAAAATTAGCGACCCGCCATTTTGACGGGTCCCGTAAATCTAGCGTAAAAGGAGTTCGAGGCTGCTCGATATATTATATCCGACCCACTCGAATTATCGGTCCCCTCGATTCGCGTTTCTAGCAATCGATGCGGAAAATTTTGATTTCGCGCGAACGACGGTACAACGATATCGCAACGAAGTCGTCGATTTCGCGAAGCAGTCGATACGGTGTCCTCGCATAAAGGAGCGTCGGTTTAAAACCCGGCCGCTGTGCACAAAGAGTCTTTTATTAATTGTCGTAAAAATACGTGTTCGTTCGACGAGTTTCCCCGAGTTCGAGTAAACAGCGTTCCCGGTCCGTCGTACCGTTTCAAAATGGAGAACCAGTTCGAACCGCGGTCACTTCGGGGCTCGAGTCTAAATAAACTTTCAACCTTTTCTCTACGAATTCTTCCGTCCAACGATTCGAACAACCAAAATACACTTCGATCAGCGACGAACGAACGAACGAACGAACGAACGAACGAACGAACGAACGATCTGGTTCACAGAACTTCACTATTGGACACGGATCGCGCGCGCACTCGCCCCCGGGTTTTCAGCACCGGGGACCGTTCCGATTAGTTTCTGTTTTCTCGCGATGAAACGGTATATCTGGCCGTGCTTGTTGTTGCGACGACCGTGTATCACTCGTTCTTTTTGTGTGTTTGTTAAACGCGCCGCGTCCGAGCCACCGTGCACGGTGCACAACCTTTTTGTTCTTTTTCTCTTTTCTGCCTTTCTTTCTTTTTCCATTATGTTTCCCCTCTTCTGTCCTGTACACGACCGGCAATTGAAAAGGTCGCGCGAACGTGCCGCGCGCGGGTCCGCTCGATTTTTTTCGTTTCCCCTCTCGCCGACACTTCGCGGCGGTGGTGGCGGCGGCGGCGATCGCGCGCGCGCGGAAACGTTTTTTCCTTTCGATCGAGCAGAAAAAAGAAGGTGTATCGCATCTCGAGCGAGTCCCAGCTCGGCTCCGCTCGGCTCCGGAGGAGACAAAGCGGCCGGTCGATGCGCGCGGCGAGAACGAATACATTACTTTCGCTTCGCGATCGACCTCGCGGCTTCAAGGAATCTTCCTCGATCATTTCGTGGAAGAGAACCAGGGCCGAGGAAATTCTTCGCGCGATGAAGAAAATCGTGCGCCGGCCGATAGCGGCCCGCGGATAAGTGATATCAGCCGCGCTCGGGCTCCGAAGCACGCGCGCGCACCATTCGAACCGACGAAACACGTATCGCGTTTCTACGAGCGTCGGGATGCCCGACGCTCCACATTTTCGTTTTACAGCTTATCTGCACGGTGGAGGCACTCCCTGCCACGTGAACAATCCCTCGATCGACACCACCCGATCGTCCGTCGATCGTCGCGCTCGTTTCTGTTTCTCGCGCTGGATTATCTTCGCTCGTACGGAAACCCGACTCCGTGGACGCTGTAGAGAACGGTCGAAACCGTTGCAACCGGTGCCGAGCCGCGATCAAACGCAATCTGGATTTTACTATCTTTCGGTACCCTTTCAACGTCGACGCTCTTTCCATTTTTCCGCTTATTATCCGGGAAATGTGGGGTTTCCGAAGTCGTTCGAAGCAACATTTTGCTTAGCGAAATTGCAATCCGCGGCTTCGTTTACGAGTTATTGAAGAAAAACGGGAGCCAATGAGAGACGAGCTGGACTGGCGCAATGCGGCCGAGCCAACGAGCGAACGGATACCATTGACGTTCATTGGCTCGGCCGCCTCGCGCCAGCCGAGCTCGGCTCTCATTGGTCAGTGTTTTTCGTTAATAACTCGTAAACGAAGCCGCGGATTGCATTTTCGCTCAGGAGAAAGTTACTTCAAATCACCTCAGGAATGTCCCTGTGTCTCTAATTTTGGGACATCCTGAACCTTGAATGCTGCGGTAGATATAACAGGGCTGCCGCAGTTCGAGTTCAACGCGCAAGCGTTTAGAAGTGTTTGCAAGCGTCTACAAGCTTTTGCAAGCGTTTAAAAGCGTTTATAAGCGTTTACAAACGTTTAGAAATGTTTACAAGCTTTTACAAGCTTTTTTACAACCGTTTGTAAGTTTTCACAAGCGTCTACAAGCGTTTTCAAGTTTTTACAAGCGTTTACAAGCGTTTGCAAGGGTTTACAAGCTCTTACAAGCGTTTGCAAGTTTTCATAAATGTTTAAAAGCGTTTGCAAGCGTTTACAAACGTTTACAAGCTTTCGCAAGCTTTTTCGCAAGCGTTTGCAAGCGCTTACAAGCTTTTACGAGCGTTTGCAAGCGTTTACAAGCGTTTGAAAGTTTGTATAAGCATTCACAAGCGTTTAAAAGCGTTCACGAGCGTTTGCAAGCGTTTTTCGACGTGATCACTTTATTGAATCATTTTAAGTGAAAATATACGGTTTAACAAGCTTTCCGTCCCGAGGGAATGGTCGAGGCTTCCGACAGAATCCCGAAAAAGCCACCAAATCGTCGAAGTTTCCTTGTCGATAGCGAACTCGCTTATTCGATGATCCGATGCTCGAGTTGCAGGAAACGAGCCGAACTCTAATCTGGATTACCGATGCAGGAGTATTTTTCTAAAGTAAGTGTCGCTGCTCGAATTACGATGTTGGTCACGCGTCCCGCGCGTCTGACCATGAAATTCTTTAATCACTTAGAAACACCGAGAGCGCGGCCGTAAGAGAATGAGAACAACGAGAGACCGTGACGGTAACGAAAACGAATAAGATAAGCGTGCGTCCCGGTGGGGCCGTTATAGAGCAGGTGTACATTCGAGAAAATGCCTCCCGACGCGAACCACGGCGCGCGAGCACGCGCTTAAACGCGCCGCATTGTGCATCGATACCGGGCGACGATATCTTCGCGAAAGGTCATCGTCTGATGTCGCGAGCATCGGGCGAGAAGATGGTTCTGTATAACGGCGAGCCGGGCTCCGATTAGTATAATTATTTCGCGAGCCGGCGCGATCCGTCGGCTGCCGGAAGAAACCGTTTTCGCGTGTTCGCGCGCGCGCGCGCGCGTCTGGTTTCGCGAGCTCGGGGAAATCGCGAGAATTTTCGATCGCGCGCGGAACGCGATTCGCGATTACGCTTCGCGAAGCAGTCGCTGCATTCGCGTTTCTCGGTGTCGTTCATTTTGTTCGCGCGTCCTTTCTTTCGCCGTGGACGATAGATAACGCGTTGAATAATAGGCGGATAACAGGCCGAGGAATTTTTCAGTTGCGAAAGGCTGCCGCGTCGAGGAAGCTTCCTTCCACGAAATCGCGAGTCGAAGAGAACGAACCGTAGGCGCGAACCGTAGGTTTCGTTAAAAAAAAGAAAAATAGCTCGAACGCGTCGGGAACGATGCAACGTCGATCGTCGACGTCCGTTCGAACGATCGGAGATGCGATCGTTGCGCAGAAGCCTCGAATTTCCCCTCCCCCGTTTCTAGATAAAACGATCGCTGTTCCGCCGTGGGGACGGCACAAAGGACGAATACTGGTCTTCCTTGATTATCTTGATAGGCCGCGTACCTCGCAGCTGATGAGAGAAAACGAAAGTCCTTGAGGGAGCGCGGACGACGATCGGGAATGCGTCTTCACACGAAAGGCAGAAAAAGAGAGGAGAGGAGCGCGAGAATGAAATCTTAATCGCGACTGACCTCTTCCAACCGAGTTATCGGGCGGGCCCTGCGCGCTTATCGTTTCGGAATAATTAAATAACGAAATGCTGTGAGCCAACATTATGTGAATAATCGAACGATAATGACCGTGGCCAGCCGCGGTTTGTACGTTCCATTGTTTCGTCGGCGGCGCCGGATCGGGATTCAACAGGAATATATTTCGCGCGAATTAACAATATATAAACAGAAAACTAATTACGTAATCCAGATATGTTAAATAATTTGAGGAACGCGACAAAACGCGACAGATAGGACGACGCGACTCGGCTCCCGACCAACGGCTGATAGCATCGTCAACTTTCGCAATTAAAAACGTGCGCCGCCTTCGGAACGCTCGGTAACAAAATCATGATTTATTCTCCCTCTCTCTCTCTCTTTCTCTGTCTCTCTTTGTCTCACTCTCTTCTACGTCCTATGCTACCACACTCGGCCATTCAGCTCTAGCATCTGTCCTCAGATGCTGTCACCACGCTCGGCCATCCTGTCGTAGCATCTGCTCTCAGGGCTACGGATACTGTGACTGCATTTTCATCCGCGTCCTCCTCTCCCCTGCATTCACCTAATAACTTGTGATTGCAAACCGTAGATCGTGCAGCTTTCGAAAATAACCGTTTCGGATTGCGATAGAATCGGCAACGGAAATATTGATTAATAATCGAATGAAAGTTAATTTATATGAATTCATATCCTTTCGAAACGGAATGCAACTATTTTAGAACCGAATTAAACGACTCGAATTTTGTTTAGACGACAGAGCGACCAATTTACCGATCTGTAATAGCTAGAACGCTTTTTCTAAATTGTGCTGCTGCTTAGAATGACGAAAGAAAATAGAAAACTCTCATTCTTTAACATTTTTTTTACCTGAGGTTATAATTGAAAATTTCAAAAATATGTGTTGCAGATCCCGGTAAGTTACATGCATGCTGAGAATTGCATCGAAATCGATTAACGAAGAAGAAAAGTTTTTAAGTGTCAAAAATCGGGACAGAACTGCGATCTTTGCGATCTTTAACCCTTTGCACTCGAATGGCGACTCCAAGGCGCCATTAAAAATTGTTGTGTCGCGTTACAAAATAATTTTATTAACCAAATTTGTTTATATTTAAAGAATTGTTAAAAGCGTGACTGTTGCATGAATCACGATACTCAATTTCATGTGTATAAAATGAACTACGTTATGAAAAATTGGAATGCCGTGGGTGAAAAAAACTATTTTAAATTTTGCGTTAATTTGGCATCGAGTGCAAAGGATTAATGTTTACAGATCGCATCAGGGTCGTCCGATTTCGATGAAATTTTCGGTACGCGTGTACGTAACTTATCGCGATCTTATAGGTTCGGACCAAAAAAGTTGAAAAGACGAGAGCTTTTTATTTTCTCTCGTCGATCCGAGCAATAGAAAAATTTTTAAGGAAGTGTAAAAAATTATACAAACGGTAAAATATCCATCAATTCTTTCGTGCGTTGCGAACTCAAATATTCGTCGCACATTCTCGTCACCTCTCTGCGCATCTAATTGATCTTTCACGAGCGGCAAAGGATATCGGTCATTTACGATCTTTTTGTTGACTTCTCTGTTATCTACGCAGCGTTCTACCTGTCGCAGCGTTCTTCTTTTTTGCGAAGGCGATGGGACTGATACATTCGGAGAGCGACGGTTGTATAACGTCTTCTTGCAATCGCTCGCGTATTTGTATTCGCAATTTCTTTCTCCAACGAAGTCAAACGAGGTGCCCTCCGATGAATAAGCTCGTCGTCTTTCAACCCTTTGCACTCGAAGCCGAATTAACGCAAAATTTAAAATAGCTCTTCCGACCCACGGTTTTTCCGTTTTATACGACCTAGTGCATTTTATGCATATGAAATTGAATATTGCGACCCGTGCAACAGTTACGCATTCGACAGCTCTTTAAATACAAACAAATTTGATCGATAAAATCATTTTTCTCGTGTTTTTTTTCCCGGGAGTATAATTTTTTAGCGATTAAACACTCTCTCGTCCAATGGCGATGTCATCGATGCGCGACAAAACAACATCGTCAGAATTTTCATAGACGTTTAGTCCTTCGCGGAGAACTTTTTTCTCATTTTTTCAATAGACACGACACCTTGATTTATGGCTGTGTTAACCTTCTAGCGGTGGCCAAATTTTTTACAGCTTGTTTTGCAGAGTGACGGAACGTCAAATCGACGTACGCCACCAGCTGGAGGTTAATCATACTCGCGGCTCATTTTTATAGTTGCCAACTGTCAATAATTATAAAAACGAGGCGCGAGGCGCGAATAATCGTATCTCCTCGTCCCGAATTGTCTATTTTTGTTCACAAGCTGAAGGAAAATTACTAAGGAAAATTAGGAAAATTACTAGGGAAGATTAGGAAATTTACGCAAATAAATATTTTTGCTGATCCAGATTAGGGTTCTCCGATTCGAACTTCTTCTTTAACGAGAAGCTGTTCCTCTTTCGACGAAAGCAAATTTGTTCGAGCAAATTTGTTTCCGGTTCAATCCTTTTCGTTCCTAGTTATCAGATAGGAGCCCGTGTTTTCATCTCCGATGCATGACTAGGACAACGAGCGATAATTCCGTTTCTCCGCTGATTATTAGGAATTGATTGCGTATCGCTCGCTGGCCATGTGTTTACAACGGTCATATGTTGCTCGTCGCGCGATTGCTCGCGGCCGGAGATAGCGTCGCTATCGGTGGATTCCATTCGAAATTTTCTCGACAGCGAGACAATTCGGACCGCCCATTTTCGGGAACTATCTTGCGAGATCGCTGTCCCGAAGATCGCTGTCGCTCGTGACAATTGCATTTCCAAGGGCGAGCAGACGATAACGCCTGAACCGAACGGATAAACCCGAGGTTTGTTTTGGAGAAAGCGACGAGATTAACGCTAGAGTCACGGAGTCCAAAAAAACAGCTGTTTCATGTTAGTTTGTAAAAGTAACGTATAAGACACATTTGTTCTGATTTTTAACAAGTCTTGTATCGTAGCATTTGCCGTAAGTAACGTATAAATTGAACAAATACCTCGTGAATGTATCTTCACGATACGAATAGTCGTAAATTAAAAATTTAGCGACCCGCCATTTTGACGGGTTCCGTAAATCTAGCGTTAAATATTACGAGACGAGTCGTTCTTGCACGTTCTATTAACTTAAAGTCAAATAATTTGCCACGCGATGTTTATTGCCAGCGAATTCAACCGCTTTTCTCCGAACTTGTTCCGAAGCGCAGAAAATTATTGTCTCGGATTTGAAACGAAGATAGATGTAATTAAGTTGGGACGGACGAAGTAATTTTCTTTTCTTTTATATAGGTTTTATTATCCTTCGCGAAATCGCTTACAATTACTGAAATACGTAAATAAACGTACGAATAGTTTCAGCCGCTTAACAGATCAATTTTTAACGTATGTAAGTACACGTTGCCCGGGTAACGGGCAACCTGTTAAGCGCTTAAATAATTAACCCTTTGCACTCGAGTGGTGATTCCGAGGTAAAATTGTTGTATCACGTTTTTATGTTATCATTTTATATTATTTCTTCATATATCATTTGTTTATCATTTTTATATTATCGAAGTTTAGATTTTAAATATTATTAAAAATTATATATATATTAATATATATAATAATTATAATAATTATAATAATAATTGTAATAATAATAATAATAATTATAATAATAATTGTAATAATAATAATTATTATTATAATAATTATAATAATTATTATTATAATAATTATAATAATAATTAATAATAATTATATATATAAAAATTACAACTGTTGCACGAATCAAATGCACTTTGTCGTATAAAATGGAAATACTGTAAGTCAGAAGAATTATTTTAGGTTCACAGTTAAAATGGCTTCGAGTGCAAAGGGTTAATCGGTTTCGAAGGAACCGTGTAAACCGAGCAAACGCGAGATATATAATATATATAATATCGCAAGCGATGAAACCCCGCATCGATCGACGAACATTAAAAAGGAGCTTTTGGTGTTTTAGGTTCGTGGACGGTGACGTTTTCGCGGGTCTAGGAAGAACGCAATACCTCAGTCTCGCAGATAACGAGGTGCCATCAATACCGAGGCACATTCTGTCGCATCTCGCGTTACTGAGGACCCTAGATCTCAGCAGAAATCGGATAAATCGCATAGACTCGGATGACTTCAAGGTACGTGTTTTCCTCATCATTTTGAAGACATTTTTACCGATTATTCTTCGTGTGTGGACAGTAAATTCTCCCTGACTTTTCTTCAGCTTGCAAACAAAAATGGACAATTTGCGAAGAGGAGATGCTACGATTACAGTAATTTCTCTCTAATTAGCGCTTAGATTGCGCACAAAAAATGGACAATTTCGCTAATAGAATAGCCTCGCGTATTGTTTTTATAGTTGTTGACAATCGGCAACTGTAAAAACGAGCCACGAGGCTCGAATAATCGTATCTCCTCTTCCAAAATTGACCATTTTTGTGCGCGATCCGAGCGCGAATTAGGGAGAAATGACTGTATTAGAGGCTTGCACCTCGTTTTTATAATTGTTGGATTAATCGGCAACTATAAAAACGAGCCGCGAGGCTCGAACGATCGTATCTCCTCTTCCCAAATTCTCCATTTTTGTGCGCAATCTGAGCGCGAATTAGGGAGAAATTACTGCATTCGAGACTTGCACCTCGTTTTTATAATTGTTAGATTAATCGGCAATTATAAAAATGAGCCGCGTATCTCCTGTTCACAAATCGTGCATTTTTGTGTACAAGCTGAAGAAAAGTTCGGGAGAATTTACCGTATCATGGTATCCTCCATAAAACGTTTTCCAAAAGTTTAGGAAAGGCTTGGAAGCTTTTTCAGGCGTAATTGCTGAATATTATTTTGGCACGAGGTACACGTTCGTACGAAACAGAAAATCGTCTCTGAACAGTGTTCAATTAACTGTAAAACGAAGATCGCGCTCAACGATCTAAAACGCTATGAGCTACAACGGAGAAAATAATGCAATAAAAAGGGCAATAAGATTAACCGGCAACGGTTAATAACATCGATGTGGAGCACCTTATGAACAGGAAGAATACAGACTGGCTATTAATGACTATCAATTACGAACGTTGATGTAACCTTTCCTGACCGTATTACCACTCGCCCGTTTTAAAGTAGGATGCACTGTGCACTTATCGAGCTGGTCGAATCTAATCTCGTTTCAACTGACTTCTGGAATATACATATTGTCTTTCCGCTCGTTGCGTTTACGTCTTCGGCAATGATCCGCTACGCGTAAACGAGTTTCGAGGCACTAATCTAGAACAGCTTGCAGAAACGAGACACGATTACAGAGAGGAAACAATCTGTATTATACTGGATAATCTGTACACTATGTAGCAAAGTTAAATAAAATTTTATCGGGACGACGGATACAAGACGCGAACCAACGAATACAATTTTATTCGACGATGGAATAAAAATTGATCTGGATACAAATTTATTCGAACGATATTTTAGTCGACGATGGAACACAAAATTATCTAGGTAAAAATTTATTCGAATAGTTTAGTCGATAATTGAATGAAAATCGATCTAGATAAAAATTTCATTCGAATAAAATTTTATTCGACGATGGAATAAAAATGTATCTAGATACAAATTTATTCGAACAAGATCTTAATCGACGCTATCGAATAAATATTTATACGGATACAAAATCCGAATGAAATTTTATTCGAATAAGAATTTATTCGTCCAGGGATTCGTGCGGAAAATAATCGATTTGAATAAAAATGATAGAATATAAAGTGATTGTTTTTTCATAGTTCATCGATTCATTTCTTTCGTGTTACTCTTTCGAACTATTCCAATTAAAGAATTTTTCGAGTTACTCGAATAAATGGATAGAATAATTTGTGACGAACAACGACGAATTATTCGAATAAAATATTCGTCTAAAAGGAATTCGTTCGTACAATTATCTTAGATAATTATTTATTCGAAAAAATATATATTATCCTGAACAATTGTTTGATATACGATGCGTCGTATAAGAGACACAGTCTATGATATCCGATCTGCTGTGAATCCATCGATCTATTCTCTTTCCAACGAACATTCGACGCTGTAACTAACAAAAAATATCATTAAAAATATCATTTTTTATGGGCGACTCGTCGCTTCGAAATACAATAATGACAGTCTATGATATCCGATCTGCCGTGAATCCATCGATCTATTCTCTTTCCAACGCACATTCGACGCTGTAACTGACGAAAAGTATCATTTAAAATATCATTTTTTATGGAAGTCTCGTCGCTTCGAAATACAGTAATGTCTCCCTAACTGAGGCTCAGTTTGTGCAGAAAAATGGACAATTTGGGAAGAGCCTTGCGGCTCGTTTTTATAGTTATTGACAATTCGTGACTATAAAAATGAAGCGCAAGTCTCGAACAATCGTATCTCCTCTTCCCAAATTGTCCATTTCTGTCGACGATCCGAGCGTCAATTAAAGAAAGTATTCATATTACTGTATAATGCCCAACTATAGTTCCTCCGACGGACGAACGAGTCCGTTCTCGCCGTCCGCGAACAATTTACACGATTGACACGATCGTCGTCGAACGCTCGTCGAATCGGCGAGAGAAAAAAAAAGGTATTAGTAAACGAACGCGTGATATTTTCCGCCGGGCACGATCCGCAACGTTGCGCGTGACATTGTAGTCAATACGTGTATTTGTAGCCGGTGGTGTACGTGCATACGAACGAACAATTCATCTCGAGGAGAGGAAGACAGCAAACTAGCCAGCCTGGTGGGGTTCCCCTGGCGCTTCTGCCGCACGTGACCGGCCACGTGCAGAGAATAATCCGCCAATCGTTCTCCAGACGATACGTGCTACTTACGAGATTTTTTATTCACGCCTGCCTCGTGTTGTTTATCGCGCGTTTTCGCTGCAACAACAAAACAACAACAACAACAACAACAAAAGAATAAATAAAGAACCGATGGGAACGCAGGAAGATGTTTCTGCGACAAGACAGTTCGCAGCTGCGACGACTCGACCGCGGCAATCCCAGCGAAAATTCTCCGAAAAGACGAAACGCGATCGCGGTCGAACAGATTTCGGAGCAACGTTGCACGGCCGATAAAACGTATTTTGAAAGTTGCTTCGCGCAATCGGTCGGAGCCGACGTGTTTTCCAACGGATTGTGTGCATCTTCGTGCATTTACGCGCGGCGAGAGAGAGAGAGAGAAAGAAACGAACGGATAACTATGATGTAAGAATGATGTATCGCGATTTATCGCGGCGAAAAAAAAAATAAGAAGGCTGCTCAACAGGCGAGGAGTAAACAGCTCCGGAGAGGAGCGCCGTTGATTCGATCGATTTCTGCGCGACTAGACGCCTTCGGGTCCGATCGTGGCTCGAATCTCCTTCCATGCACTTGCAGCAGACTCGTGCTGCGTAACAATGCTGCCTCAATATTCACACTCGGCCGACGTGCCGCCACGATCCTCGTTTAAATGTTGCGCGGCCTCGGTATTAATCGCCGGCTGCCGACGTTGCTAAATACGATCTTCGCGTACCGCCGTCGAAATAAATTCGAAATATCATTCCGCCCGAACCGTTTCGCCGCTTTTAAAACTACGTATCCGTGCACATGTTACACGGCCGGCAGATTACGGTTTATCGGTCACGTTCTCAATAATAAAACGACGAATTTTCGTGTGTACAACCAGGAACACGAGATTACGGCTCGGATAGAATTTTGTTCGAAGCGTTTGGTCGCTCGAACGGACGAACGGAACGACGAGCTCTTTCGCGTTCCTTTTTAACCCATTTGCATCATAAGCGTATATATACGCTCAATTTTCCTGGTCGCTATCGCCGGAGCGTATATATACGCGGCTGCGTTCGGTATCGAATCCAGATATTTAGTTAATGAAATAATACACTCCCTAACAGTATAAGATCACAGAGACAAGCACCGATACCGATAACTGTTACACCGCTTGGATGCAACGATGATTTGTTATTTTGCTTCTCTTTGTTATCTCTGCGATCACTATCGCCGGTGCTGCGCGCATACTGAAATTTGTTAGTCACTAAACTTATTCGTAACCTTAGAGTAAAAATGGATGGAATTCTGGAATCTGAAAGCAGTTTTTCTGATTGTAGTGTAGACAAAATTATGCCGCTAAAAAGAAGACGAATTGGAGAAATAAGATCCGATAGCGATGATAGTGATAGCGATTGCGAAGTGCCTATATGCATCCACGTTTCAAATATTACCACACCGAACAAAGTTTCTAACAAATAATGCTGAAAAATGATTTTTTGTTTACTTTTATACAATTTTACACCTAAATATAAAATAAAAATGTTTCGGTGATATGGGCATTTTTTTCATATTTCCATATGATGCAAATGGGTTAACGCGAGCAGGTATTTTTAAACACGACTTTGCAAGTCGAAAAACGGTAATTATAACGGAGATAACGGATCGCGAAATTTTCGTTCATCTGCGATGTGAAACATAAAAATAACGTCGGAGGAATCGATGCGAACGGAACGAGACGGCACTGATATTATAGTGCGACGATCGTTTAGGCGATCGTTGCTCGCCGGTACGTCGAAAAGTCTGCGTGGTAAAAGATTTACGAAACGGAACGAGAACTTTTCATGTTCATCGAGCAAGTATTTTTACCACGACTATACAAGTTAAGTGCGGGGACTGTAACGGAAATAACAGATCGCGTGAAACTAGTTCTCCTTCATTAACAATGTAGAACATATACAAGACGTCAGAGGAATCGAAATTAACGGAATGAGACAGCACGCGGATAATTATAGCGCGAACGTTTATGCGTTCGTTGCTCGTGAGAACATTGAAAACAAAAGTCTGTACAGTACGAAGAGTTTTACCGAATTTCACGGATTTTCTATTCGCGTAGACAATTGCAACTTGTGCATGCTCACTTCAGATTGTAATCAGGAATCCGCAGGAAACGATTTAACATCTGTTCTTCCCATATTTCCATGAAATGCATCGGAAAACGTATCGGCTAAATGCGCGAAAACTGTTTTCAATGCGAACGCGATTGTTGCATACGATGCTTTTGGAAGTAAATTCTCTTTAATTGGTGCTCAGATTGTACACAAAAATGGACAATTATTCGAGCCTTGGGGCTCGTTTTTATAGTTGTCGACGATCGGTAAAAATGAATCTCCTTCTTCGGCCTAATCGCTTCTTAAAGACTATAATGAAAAGTGCTGGTACAACTCCAAAACAAAACGCATCGAGTGCGATCAAATTCTCTCGAATTGTCCCTTACTTTGTACACAAAAATGGACAATTTGGGAAGAGGAGATACGATTATTCGAGAACCTTGCGGCTCGTTTTTATAGTTACCGATTGTCAACAACTATAAAAACGAGACGCGAGGCTCGAATAATCCGAAAATATATTAATAATAAATCATTATTTTAATAATCAAATAATACTTCTCGAAATGTCCATTTTTGTTTCCAAACTACAGTAATGTCTCCCTAACTGACGCTCAGATTGTACGCAAGAATGGACAATTTCGGAAGAAAAGATACGATTATTTTACGCTTTGCGGCTCGTTTTTATAGTTGCCGATTGTCAACAATTATAAAAACGAAATGCAAGGTTATATAATATAATATAATAATATAATACGGTTATTATATATATATATATATAATATATAATATAATATAATAATATAATACGGTTATTATATATATATATATAATATATAATATAATATAATAATATAATACGGTTATTATATATATATAATATATAATATAATATAATAATCGTGCCTTCTCTTCCCAAACTCTCCATTTTCGTTCCCAAACTGAGCGTCAATTAGGGAGAACTTACTGTAATCGCCAATTAGGGAGAATTTACTGTATCTCGAAGTTATCGAATTTCTAGGAAACTAGAAAGTTCGCGAGACGCTTGTCTCAAAAACATTCGGGGAAATGCATAATTTGTCTGTCCGATTTTCAGTACAATCCGACGCTGCAGCACCTCTCGATGGCCGGGAACGCGATTTCGGAAATGGTGCCGGGATCGCTGCCGCCATTGGTGAAACACCTACACGTCGGCCGTAACCACTTGCAGAGCTTGAATCGGACCTTGCGGTACGTCAGTTTCTTGGCTACTGAAAATTTTCGTCGGCTCGCGAACCGTCCAGAACGGATCGGACATCCTGTTTACCGTTCTGCCGGTGCCTCTTATTTAATTGGCTCTATTCAGCGTTGATGCAACCAGCTGGATCGTTCTTCGGATGACCGAACGATCGAGCGAACGCGCGCGCAGATTATATCCGGAGGATAGAGAACAATTAAACGATCTTCGGGTCACGTGTTCGCCGCTGGAAAGTTGATTTACGTTCGAATCGTTCGAAGGAAAATGTTTACGCCGCGCGAGATCGTCTCGTAAATGAGAAATCAATTCTTGTTGCGAGAGTTCGCGAGTTTTACACGTTCGTGACAACAACGGGCGCGCGTAATTTCGAACAACGGATCGAGAGACTTCACGAACGTCGATACATTTTGTTTCAGGCTTGACAAAACCGTCGAACGGTTTTCTATTTGGTTCCTGTATCCTTGCGATCGATGCGAGCAATTTTTGTTTCGAAAGAAGATACACAGTCTAGTTATTATCATTTATTTTCCGTTTTTCTTTTTTCAATCGTTCACCGTGTAATATTCGCTACCGCTTTTTTTATCGCTTTGGCACAAATATTAACCGTTTCGCTGTGCTTTCAATCAAACACAATGCGTGCACGCGAGAAACCGGGAAGCAAACAATGTTGTCGTCTTGTTAAGAAGACAATGAATTTCTCGCTGCTACAATTAACACTTTATTGGCCGGTCGCACAACATGTGTTTGCGAGTAATAATTGATGCTTGTAATAATTATCGCACAGAGGAGAAACATTAATTTTCTTGTATCAAATGTGTTTTTATTATTGTTGTTGTTGTTTCCTTTTTATTTTATTTATTTGTTTTGTTTTCGCGCACGTTGAATCATTTCACGAATTTACATAAAGTCTTTCTTAATTAATTCTTGAAAAATATTGCCGGTCCCTGGCGACGTTCGACTGCGTAGACGCGCGGCCATTAAAGCGTTAATAGCAATGTTAATCGAATCAACAGCAATGTTATGTTTTCCTGCGCGCATTCGCCGTTCCGTGTTTCGTCTATCGATAAACGCCGCGAAAGGTCGAAACCACGGAAACGACGATTTACGCGATAATTGCCGGTCCGGTTTCATTCGCACGATTCGAATTTCGTTCGCCCGGCAAACACGTGACGCCGGCTAGGACACAGTTGCATATTAATCCCGCGTTGTTGTTCCAGAGATTTGAATCAGCTGGAGTGGCTTCTAATTAACGCCAACGAACTGACATCCTTGGACGGCGAACTGCCGTCCTCCGGTCACAACTTGAAGATGCTCTATGCGGTAGACAACAAACTGACTCATTTGCCGGCGGAATTTCGCTATCTGCATCGCTTGGAGTCTCTGTTCCTACAGCACAATAAAATTCGCAGCTTGGACGGCACGCTGCAGAAGGCTCGGCGATTGATATTCCTCGAGCTTTCGTACAACGATTTGCAGGAGGTAATTAATTCCCTTTCGTAATCGACTCGTATGCCCGCGCGCGCTACTAACCAAATATCGTATTAATTAATGAAAATACACGCGTAACTGTTCTTTTCAAGCATTTCTAATTTACTTTCGTTCCTCGGCGGTTTAAACCTCGTTTCTTTTTTCATGCGCCACGGTGAACATTGTTAACCCTTTGCACTTCGAATCTTTTTTTTTATATTTCTACCCCAATATACGCTTATTTTTATTATAATATATTTTATATGTTATCATAATTATATATTATAATTTTATATTGTATTATTATAATTTTATTACAATATATATCAAAACAATTGAATTGAAATAAAAATCGTTATACTGCTACGGAATTTCATACGAATTAATAAATGAAAGATTTAATAATTTACACGATTGACAATGCAAAGGGTTAATGACGTGTCTTTTTTTTAACGAATCATTAACACGTTCCGTGCCACGTGTACCATCGATGGTACACGCTTGCATGTTTACTTAGTGAACCGAACAAATTGTTTACAAGAAATTTAGAACCGAAGAATCAATTTCCACCGCAAGAATGGGCTTTGATAAGTTTTTGTTACGTTGTTATGTGTACGAGAATTAATAATTGCACGTAATACATCAAGTTTTAGTAAAATATCAAAGTGTGAAGATTCGAGTAAAAAAAGCTCGGCACGGAACGTGTTAAGAAGAACGTAAGAATTCGTTTGCGTTATCGTAAACACAACAACGATCCAATTAAGGACATCTTGTTATCGGCAAAATACTGGAAATAATATATTATCAATATGTTCTTTATCATCGGCTGATACTTCATAGAACGCCATTCGTTCGCTCGCAGAACTGTTACGAATTCGCGTAGCGCGCATTAATCGAGCAGATATTTCGTAACCAGAAGGGCGGAAATTACGGGCAGCATAATTTTTCAACGTTATCTGATTCAACGAATGAAAACGTCGGGGATATTATCGTCGATAGTATCTCGCGCATGGAATTACGCGGAATCGCAGAAAGCATGGATTCGCGGAAAGCACTTTTTTATTTCTCGAAGATTATCTGCGATCTGACGTTGACGGCAACTTTCGCAAGGGAATACGCGAGTAAAGTGCAAGTGCACGGATCACGGTGCATGATAACACGTGGAGGCGTTCGTACAGTGTTCCGTGTATTAAGTCAATTACTGCATCCTAACGTAATTATTATGTCGTGCGCTTCCGTCCTGCGGATTAAATTTTTATTGAAGCGGACGGGTATACGGCAGTCTTCGCCCGTAATCCGTTTCAACCGACTTCTTCCGAACGATCGATCTCAAAGGTTTCTCGTTTAACGCTCCGAGCTGTTGAAGAAAAAGACGCCTCTCGTAAAATGCGAACTCTGAATATGCGCATTGCGCGCGCGTGTCTCGCGTAGCGATAGCAACAGGAACCTTTTTCATAGCGGGATTGTACGCGTTCGTGATGAAAATGGCAAACCGAAGTGCAAAACCCTGAAGAGATTAACACTAAACCTACCAAGCAGTAATACTAACTGGCATGTACTGCTTCACGAAAATAAGAAGACCGAATTTATTTGGAATTTGTAAAGTTTTTATTATAAAACTTGCTCCAATAATATCTTATTCAAGCGTTTTCCACGAAAGAGTCTCGGAACTTTGCAGAATTGCAAAATAAGAAAGCGGTCACTTTGACCGCGGTAGGTTTAGTGTTAAAAGAATTTAAGGATATCGTTACGTCATTTTCAACTTGTTACGATCATTGGAAGAGGAAAGACATTTCCATCCAACTTGCGCTTCTTACAATCGACTCGGATGATCTTTATTTTGCACAAAGATCCGTGCAAAAAAGGGTGGTCCGTGCGAATCGTCTAAATATTTCCGTCGTTTTAGTGTGTTCGATAGCTTCTACCTACTTTAACAGAAAAGAGAGAGAATGAATTGTGTGCTCTATGTTTTTCATTTTTCCGACGAATCATATTTCAGTAGAATACGATTAATGGAAATTTGATCCGAAATCCGAGCACATTTCCTACGCAGGATTCGAAATTGGCCTGCTCCGAGAAGCTGCTCTATTGGTTCAATCTGCATCGTGTTTCATATACAGATATTTCTTAACACTTTATCCACCGGAAGCCGATTAATCGAATGTTTTAATTACCGTGCTCTACTGAGAGAAATGTGCTTCTTACAATCGACTCGGATGAACTTTATTTTGCGCAAAGATCCACGATTCGATAATAAGAATCGATCTCTCCCGAGCGAAGAATCTACGACAAAACTCGAAAATATTCGACTTCCAGGAAAATTCAATTTTCGTTTCGCGTATTGTTTCGGCGTATTTATTGTCGCGTATCGCCCATTTTCTCCTAATGCCGATAACATTCTACTCTCCAGAAACCTCTCTGTTGCTCGCAAAAAAGTAATTGCACGGTAACTTAACGCCACAGAGTCGACGGTAAAATTACTGTACGAAGTTCCGCATGCTGCTCGTACCTTTGCTTTATCGTTATTAAACCTTTTAGAAAGTTCGCGGTGTGTGTAAAATGCGAGAAAAAGAGGTGGAAGATTACACGATAGCCTAGATCTAAAAAAAAATTCGAGCCGCGCACGGCCCGCAAAAGTAGTCGCGCAAAAAACTGTCCCACGATTTTCTCGCGGTTTCGTTACGCGCTTCGAAACGTGAAATTTCGAACGAAACGCGACCGGCGCGGTTTTAAACGAGCGCGTCGAGAGTTTCTGCCTGATCGCGGAGAAATCGCGACGATCTCGTAAAGAAGATAACGCGAGTCCGCGACAGGCCGAGAAAGTTTTCGTTTATCGACGAGAACCGTTTCGCAATCCCTTCGTCAAAACAGATGTTTTCCGCCAGTTGACAGAGGAGGATTTCATAGAAGCGGAGATGCTGGAAGACCTCGAGCTCGGCCACAACTCTTTGAAATCGTTGGGCGGCACGGTCGGCGGCAACGCCGATGGAAACGGGGGCAACAGTGTTCTTTACCCTCTCAGGTCTTTGAGGAGCTTAAACTTGACGCACAACGAGCTCCGCGAGTTCTCGTTCGCGTCGCTTCGCGGTCTGCGCGAGCTGCGAATGCTCGATCTCTCGAACAACAGAATCGCGCGGCTTCACAGAGGACGGACACCTTCCGAGGTACACACTTACACCTATCTACCGTAATCCTGTAAAGTCAAAATGGATTATCGTCGACAGACTCCCCGTTTTTCTACCCCGCTGAGATCGCTCGACAATTTCTACCGAAACGATTTCTCCGAGAGAGCCTGCGAAAGAGTATGAGTCAGATTTATTAGCAGACTGTGAACGTCGTTGAAACGATTAAAAGAAGAAATACGGTTTCATTTAACTTCCACTTAAACAATTTTTATGTAAAATCGGGCGATTTTTTCATACGATTCCTATTAAGCTTGAAAAATATGCATCGTACTCGATTTAGAAACGCTCCTCCCTTTTTGAAAATGGTCATTTGTATTATTTCAGTCAATATTCGACTCTTTCGCCTAATCGTCGGGCGCATTTCGCGACGTATAAGTCGTGTACGATTCAACCGCTTTCTGAAAAAGAAAGATAATTCACGAACGAGAAGCTTCGGCTTGTTTTATGAAATTAACGACCTGTCGATCGATGATCTTTCGCGGCATTTCGATTACACCTAGGTAACACGTTTTGCGTCCATTTCGGTGATATTCGCAGAACCTGGTGGAGGAAGAAGGGGAGGAAACGGCGGGAGGCAACATACAGGACATGCGTCTCCAGCACAACGAATTACGGAGCTTGGACGGCTCGTTGTTTCTGGGGATGAAGGAGCTGCAGAGGCTGAACCTCAGCCACAATTTACTGGGGCCAACGATCGGACCACGCGATCTACGCGGTCTCGACGGACTCAAAGTCCTCGATCTCTCTCACAACGAGCTCACCACCCTCGAGGATACGTCGGAGGTACGCGCCCGAAGCGATTATCGACCGGCGAATCAACCCCGGTTCCGGTTAAACAAAGAATTTCGACTTGGCTTCGGTTTCTTGCAACCGACGCGGACAATTTTTATTTAGCAGAAGGATCCGAAATCTAACTGTATATAATATACAGTATATTTTTTCTATTTTCGATTTATATATTACGAATATATTTTCAATTTTCTAACCAACGAACAGTAAATTCTCTCCAATTGTTTCTGAGTTTGTAGACAAAAATGGACAATTTGGGGAAAAAGTTGACAATTTCCCCTAATAGAACGTGACAATTTTTGTTTCTTCTATATTTTCGTCTAGTTTCATTCCTAGACTTTGGTGACGAAGGATCGAAGGGCCTAGTCGATTGAAATGGTCAAAATTGCCCTTAGAGATTTTTTTAACGGCTATAAATGACAATGACTTATGACTAATTCATCTATGTAAAATTTCAACCCTGTTATTGTAATCCTTTCTTTCTCTTAAATCGCATTTTCTAGGTTACAAAATTGTTCGTTTCGATGCAACAATATTTTTTGTCTTTGAGATATCTTCGATATTCCGATGTTTTTCTTGCTTTTCCATTTTTAATAACCACAGCTCGCAACCGAAAATTCTGAAAAAATTCTACAACATGCGTCTTGATGTCCAAAGTAAACCGCATTTTTTTCAAAATTTTAAAAAACCACCGAAGAGGGGAAATAGGCGCGCGCGATCCAGTTTACCCTGTAACTACCCTCACGGACAAATTACAGGATTGCAATTTTACACTTGGATGAGTTTTTCTTGGTCAGCTATCGAACGGTATAATAGTCGTTAAAAAAAACTACCAACGACAATTTCGACCATCTTAATCGGCTAAGCCCTTTTGTTTCGATTTTGAAAAAAATCCTATTCGACCGATTTTTTTTATGAAATCTTTATCGCGAGTCCGAATATTTACGAGTTTTAGACTGCAGGGGATTAATCAGTGATACGAGTACCGTTCGATTGCAGACATGGCTACCGTCCCTGGAGGAGCTAAACGCATCGCACAATCGGTTGGTGACGCTGTCCGAGAGGGACTTCCGCGGTTTTCCAGCTCTCTGTTGGGCGGATGTCAGCACGAATCGGATACGCAGCCTGACTCCCGAGCTGGTAATGAACACACGTTGCACCGTTCACGGAGTTCAGGACGTACTGCGCATATATCTTCAAGGTAAGTGCGATCCGACATGAATGACGAAACTTCGGACGACCTTCTTCCAATTACCGTAATGTTTACCGCCGATAAGAGTTCGGGAGCAGATTCGAGGGGCCCCCGATTGCTTGTCTTGTATGACGCACGTCAGACAACGGTTGTTAACGATTCAATATAGATACATCTTCGGCATTGTACCGATGTAAAATTAACACCGGCGCAAACACAGGTGTATTTGGTCGTCCAATGATGGAGAGAGTCGGCAAATATAGATTACGAAATTTCGTTAAATCGTTTTATCGTTCAAATGTTTTATTCTATTCTTTGTTTTTAGTGGATCATAAAACGATTCCAAAAATACTCCAAATATTCGCTTCCTTCTCGCGAGATACGCGCGATGGGGGTAGTTTTCCAAGCTGACGCACGGCGTTAAGTAAATGAAAGCTTAGGAGATAATCGAACGCCAACAAAATGACACATGACCGTGCCGTTCCTGTATGCTCATCTTCCCCAAGAATTTTGTTTCGTTTCGAAGAACATTTCACTTTGCGGTTTATGACTTTGCGCTGCTAAATTCGACGATAGTTAAGCCGTTTGACTAGAACAAAGTAATCGCGGCTTATTCGCGATGAAAATATTTGCCGGTAATTTGAAATATTACAATTCACGGCTCGTTGTAAACCGACTAATTTTTACTAGAATCTTGTTTTTCTCCCTTAGAGATGAAAATCGTGGTCGCGCAAATTTTTCAACCGCTCGGAGCTTTTATACGAAGTATATACAGTAATGTCTCCCTTACTGACGCTCAGATTGTGCAGAAAAATGGACAATTTGGGAAGACGAGATATGATTATTCGAGCCTTGCAACTCGTTCTTATAATTTTTGACAATCGATAACCATTAAAAGGCGAGCCACAAGGCTCGAATAATCGTATCTCCTTTTCCAAAATTATCCATTTTCGTGAACAATCTGAGCGTCAATTAGAGCGACATTACTGTACTTTCCTGCGATCTCGCAGCATTCGCTTTTAACTTATTTTGTTCTTATCGTTTAACCGCCAGCTACGAATTTAACGTATTGCCAATTAAACGATAACACATAAGAACGAAATGTAAGGTAAAAGCGGATGCTGCGAGATCATAGAAAAGTACAGTAATGTCTCCCTTACTGACGCTCAGACTGTGCAGAAAAATGGACAATTCGGGAAGAGGAGATACGATTATTCGAGCCTTGCAGCTCGTTTTTATAGTTGTTGACAATCGATAACCATAAAAAACGAGCCGCAAGGCTCGAAAAATCGTATCTCCTTCTCCAAAATTGTCCATTTTTATGGACAATCTGAGCGTCAATTAGAGAGACACTGCTGTATGTAGTTGCAACGGCGAACGTTCGATTTTCCCGATCGAGCATTTCGCGGCAAGACCGTGATACGAGGAAAGAAGCGCGTAACGCGTTTCGATTCAGAATTTGATTTATCGCCTGGAAACCTCGTTCGCCGCACAGTGCGTCGCGTCGTGTCGCGTCGCGTCGCGGCGTGTCAACACGCGTGGTCGCTCTTCGCAAGATCGAAGAGCAGCGAAAAACAGATCGTACCGGGAGCGTGATGCGCAAATGCTCGCAATCGTGGCCGGCCGTTGTAAACGAGCAAATCGATGGAGCGATATGTGCACGTGGGCCGTGATTTCGCCCTCCACCCTCGCAAGAATAACGAGACCGTCGCCCGACGTAGACGCGCTGAATGGGCGCCAACTTGTAATTAATAAACGCGTCGTTAAGTGTCGCGAGGACGGTCTCCGTGCGTAAGATGGACTGGGACGGCGAATAAACGGGTCATGAGAGTGGCCGGTGCCGGCGGACAATAAATTACTGGCTGATAATCACTGTGGCTCCGTTCAGCTCCAGAGCCGCATTTTATTTTGTTACAAGAGTTACATTTCTCGCGATAACCCCCGTACTGGCGCCATCTCGTATTATTTATTGTATATACCGGCGACGGCCAATCGGTTCGCGGCTCGCTGTTGTTATTGTTAATGCACTAGTTTTTCGTGGCGGCGGCCACTCTCGTTATCGCGACGGATCCCCCGTTATCGTCGCGGCTCCGATATTCCGCTGGCTAACGCTTGTTCCTCGTTCGCGAGGCAGCCCTATCCCGAACCTCGCGATTCGCGATCGTCGTCCCTGGTCGCCGGCGTTGTTGTTGCATCTGCGATCTTAACCGAACCCAACGATTTCGTCGAGATCGGCACAAGATTCGGTGGTGCTTTTATATGTAGGTAAAAGAAGACTCGCAGAAACAAACGGCGAAAACTACTGAAGAACGCGCCGAGGAAACATGCGCGCAACAAGGGTGGTCCGTGCGAATCGTCTAAATATTTCCGTCGTTTTAATAGCTTCTACCTACTTGAACCGAAAAGAGAGAGAATAAATTGTGCTCTATGTTTTTCATTTCTACGACGAATCATATTTCAGTAGAATACGATTAATGGAAATTTGCTCTGAAATCCGAGCACATTTCCTACGCAGGATTCGAAATTGACCAGCTCCGAGAAGCTGCTCTATTGGTTCAATCTGCATCGTGTTCCATATAGAGATATTTCTTATTTCTAACTTTATCTACCGGAAGCCGCTTAATCGATTTTTTTAATTACCGTGCTCTACTAAGAGAAATATGAACAATCTTTTTCTAGAGAAAGATATCATTAGACGATATATCACGTGGGGTGGACTTGTTGGCACACGATCGAACCAGACAGTGTCGTTGAACGTTAGATTATAGATTTTTATAAATTATAAAATGATCGCCGGTAAATAATATTCTTAACACTTGACAGACGGTCTGATTTTTTAAGAGAATCGAATAAACGTGTACGTATGATTTTAAAGCGTTGCAGTTTTATTAAATCAACGCTACTTTTGATGAAATTTTACAAAGTTATTTATTTACACGTCTAGTATTACTAAAATATTAATAAAGTGTCGATAAAGTATTGATAAAAATTCAAGCGAAAACGTAAATCTACGTGGAAGCCAGAATGAGAAAACGTGAATTTAGGTGACCCGTTCGTTAAGTGTTAAGAATTATAAATTATATTGCCAAAGCCTTCTGGTACGTTACCTGAAGCTACCCCTTTAACGCCTTAACGCTCGGATGACGGATCTTTCTGACTACAACTATAATCGAGTACGCTTAGGGCCATTTATATCATTATTTCTTAATTTCTTCTAACATACAGGTTGTTCCGAAAATGTCTCGCAATTTGGAAATGTGGTGTTCCTGAGACCATTCGAAGTAACTTTTTCCTCAGCGAAAATGCAATCCGAGGCTTTGTTTACGAGTTATTAACGAAAAACAGTGACCAATAAGAGGCGAGCAGGGCTGGCGCGAGGCGTCCCAGCCAACGAGCGCGCGAAGCCCATTTGCGCTCATTGGCTCGGCCGTCTCGCGTCTCTCATTGGTCAGCGTTTTTCTTCGATAACTCGCAAACGAAGTCGCGGATCGCATTTTCGCAAAGGCAAAAGTTACTTCGAATGACCTCGGGAACCCCCATTTCGGGATTGCGAGACATTTTTCGGACACCTTGTACTTTTGAAAGTACTCTTTCCAGACACACGTCGGGTTATCGAAACACAAGAAAATTTCAATCGAAAATTCCGAAAGCTAGATAGTCAGATGTTTATACTCGAGGTCAAAACGTACCCGAGCCCCGTCGTCCGTGCGTTAACGTAGGAACGAAGCAAGAGAGGCCTTTCTCTTCCCGTTTACAAAGATCCGATGTTTTGACTTTGCAGACAATCCGGTGCTATGCGATCCAGGACTGGCCGACTTGACCGTGGCTTTGGAGGTGAATCACGCGAAGGTCTACGGAGTTGCAAACGATTGCCCGACGACCGCCTCGACGCCGAGCGAGCAGACATCGTCTCTTCCGCCATTGCCGGCGACGTTGCTGTTGGCTGCGGCAGCGGCGGCCGCTTCCGGCGGCAACGTTTCCTTCGCCGCAACCCTCGAGTAGGCGTCCCGTGATCACGAAGGATCGTGATCGATCAACCGGCAACGATGTTGGAAGAGACGGAAGCGAGCGTGCAAGAAGAACCGCGTGGGAGTTCGCTCGGCCGTGCAACGAAGAAAATGCCGCGAACTCGAGGCGTAAACGAGAGCGTGGACCGGAAGTGCGCGCGACTCGGATGGCCGTGGTACCATGGCGCGACCTCGCTCCGAGCTCTAACACGGACGTTTTAGTTCGTTCATTGCGAATTCCCTGCGGAGTATCCCGGAAACGTTGCATAAAACGGAACGCGATGAAACGAGGAAGAAGAAAAATAAGGAAAGAGAAACACACAGGAACGCTGGTTGGTCATGATCGAACACTGACGAGACTTGTTCACGCGTGATTAACAGCGCTGACTACCGTTCGCAACTTATAAAAAAAGTCAGCCTCCCCGATCCCCTAGTAGTTATTAAGCGACGAGAGATATATATTTATTTTAACGAGCTTCGATCACACACTACTGTGAGAGTGCGGTTCCTTATGTCACCGGGAGGACAATTTCCGGCCTGAGCGGCAATCGAGTCTCGGGGTGGATCTGTGCGAGACGATGTTAACGGTGATCGAATCGATGCAGGTCCGAAGGAGAGTGGACAAGTCCGTGAAGCGGACACTTGACGACAATGAACCGTTGACATGCGGGAATCGTGATCCCGTTTTATAAGTCTAGGAACAATCTGCGAGCGTTAGAATTTTGTAATAGGCGACGTTACGACGCTGTAAATAATTATTAATCCCGATGCAGTCCGACAAGTTCGAGGGGATCTTCAGCGCTCCGGCTTTTAGACACTTTTCGCCGTGTTCTGATATTTTAGCGGGGTGACAAGGGATGCGACCCTTCGGGGGGAAGGCAATATTAGAATCACGAAATTAGGTAATACAGTAATGTCTCCCTAATTGACGCGCTCAGATTGTGCAGAAAAATGAACAATTTGGGAAAAGGAGATACGATTATTCGAGCCTTGCGGCTCGTTTTTATACTTGTTAATAATTCGTAACTATAAAAATGAACCGCAAGGATCGAACAATCGTATCTTCTCTTCCTAAATTGTCCATTTTTTTGTGGACAGTCCGAGCGTCAATTAGAGAGACATTACTGTAATTCGAACGTCGCGTCGAACCAACTCGAATCCTGCGAAGAAGCTTAACATTTGTTCGAGACGATTTGCAGAATTCGTTTTAATCGTGGGAACACGTCGGGCCGCGGGGTCTTCTCGAACATGTCGGACCACGCGTCCCAAACGTCACACGCCTCTTTTTCTTCCGGTAGACGTGCGTTCTCTCTGAATTCGAACTCGCGTGCACCACTCACTTCCGCCTAGTTTTTTTCTTTTTTATTCTTAACAAGGTCATTGCATTAAAGAACGGTAAACGATTTGGTGGAGATCGTCATTAATCAATCATCATAGATCATCGTTAATCATGCTTCGAAGTATTATCCATAACGCTTGCGCGATCTATCGCGTCACCGTAATCTTCATGCACCGATCGCATTTAGATTATTCGTCGGAATATTATCGGATGATACGACTGAGATCTAGCGCGCGATTAGAATAAATAAGACACTGTATACAGGTGAAAAACTTCTTCGTCGAGATGAACGCGCGACATCGTCTCGATCCGTTCGTTTGATCGAATTTACTAATTGGAATTGCACGATACGACACACCAGGGTCGACTTTTCGAAAGCGCTATTTGCCAGGTTTCTCAAAGTTCTCTGTGCATAACGTCAGTATTTGACACGCGCGTACACTTTCCTAAGGAATGACAAAACTACTTAAAGGATGAAAACGAGCATGGGGAAATGTTGTGCCGTTGTGAAAATGAAGTTGGGCCCGAAGAATCATCCGGCTGTTACTAAAATCCGTGATCAAAATGGAAGAGGGTCGAATGGAAAATTATTTCGCTAGATTAACAATCGTATCAAGGCCGACCGTTACCAATAACGTGAGCACGGCTAACGCGTTCTTTACATCATAGTAATCTATCGATTCCCATCGGCGCTTCGATCATTAATTAAATTCCTGAGCGACCGAGTAAATGAATGATCGGTCAGGTCAATAGTGTAAGTGAAATCTGTTAACTTATGGTGTGTACGCGATATAGGCTGATTGGCAGTGGGCGATCAATTGACCCTCTCGTTAACTCGTACCAATAGGGATGAATTATTATCAACGTGCTTCTATGCATACATAATCAATTGGCCCTTTCCATGTATCAGTAAGGCGCGCCAATGTTTCATGCGTAAATTGTATTAACGGTTAAATTAACGCGGTACGAGTAACGAAGAAAGAGAATTTGATTTCCGATCGATGGTAAATTGTTAACAGACTGCGAATAATATAGTACCTCATTGACATCTCGGTAAATTAGAGGTGTCTATTAACGTTTCACGAATTTCCTTCTTTCATATTTGATACATTGATCTATTGTTATGTTTCTCGAATTTTCTTCTTCAATATTTGATACATTGAAGATAAGTGATCAAGAGAAAAGATAAATTTTTGCATAATCCATGCGTTTGAATATAAATCGACGAAACTATAAATTCCTGTTAGCATTCGCAATCTGGTAACGATGTTACTGATATTTACGTATATAACGAAACACTGAAATCTTAAACTTTCCAAATTTCACTGAACAAAGTACAATAGGGAACATGATCGATGAAATTGTAATCAAAACTTTGTTGGTAGCATTACACTTTTTCATACATCTTTTTTTTTATAAGTCATTTGTCAATTATTTATAATTCTTTTTTTTTTATACAAATGTGAGGAAACAATCGTTGACGCCGATTGCTGGCTTCATATTAGCTAGGACTCGAATCAAAATAATTGATCAGCTAAGTATTTTAATTAAGCGCATTCTGAACATTGCGAGAAGTAAGAAACAAAATGTTGAGTATTAAACGATATTTGTAACATTTGTTTGGCGAAAAGCAAACGCGTATTTAAAATTTAGTAAAATATTTCAGTTCCAAGCAAACTTGAAGATTTCTCTACTCTGAGCAACGTTTCATTCTCGCATGTCTGTGGAACAAGTGTAATTACAAATATATCTCTATAGGTGCCATATATAAATAGAAATCGAATGGAGACCTGTTTGTAATTCTAGTACCTAAGTAATTTATCCACACTGTGATTAGCAGTTTACTGTTTCTGACATGAACTGTAGGCAGGTAGTATGTCAAAACGAGCGACACAATTAATTATATGTAATAATACCAGAAAATTATCGTACTAATGATAAATATTATATTTTATTAAGATACTAATGTTAAGTCTGCGATGTCTAGCACCACGAATTCTATACATGTAATAGACATTTTAGATATCTTAGTTTTTATTAATAAAGGCTTTAATCTTATTTTGAATTTAAATAATGCATAACAAAAACGTCTCTTAATCTACAAAGGAACAGTGTAATATCTACAATTTCTGATTCTGTAGAGAAGTCAACAATCCCTTTAAAATCATTGTAATATTCCTTTTCTAGCACCGGTTGAATTTTTTCCACTGAAAAAGTGCAGAATTATTTTTTATATTACTTTTTCTCACGTAACTAGAAAATATTTACTAGCTTCGACAATGAAATATAAATACCATTCCATCGATTGTTAGAATTGGTTAAGAGCACAAAATACTCGTTAGTCAAATTTGTATTATTTGTAAAAAATGAAATTTGCACATGCTCGTAATCTTTGCCATCGGGGAAGTAAATACAGAAATCTAGATAATTCTTATAAGCATGACAAGCCCGTTTAATAGCATTCCATAATAGAACTTTTTGTTCATTCCTCTGTTCGTGTTCTGAAAAACGTTTAAAGCTAGATTCAATCTTATCACAGCCTATGTCAAATAGAGTATTGTCCCATGAAATTCTGATAATACGAGAGATCTATTTCTTTTTCAAACATAAATCAAACACTTATGAAATAAGTGAAATAAAATTTTATCATAAGTAGAAAAAAAATAATTAAAATACCTTGTTGTAAATCAACAATTTCAAGAGACAAGCCATCCCTTTGCAATTTTGCATTATCCACTTTTTCTGTTAATATTGCCAGCTGTTTAGTCGCGTTTGAAATTTTCTTTTCAACTATTTTTTGTTGCAACTTCGTTGCATCTATTTCAGATTTTAATATTTCACTTTGTTGTTGTAGTTCTGTTATTTTATTTATCCTCAATGCCCTTTTCTCTTTACACTCTAAATAGAAAGCAAAAGTGTTAGGAACAAAATTAATTTATGAGCAAAGAAGTATATTATGATTTGTACATAATATAATATATCAATATTATACACGTTTACACGAAAATTGTTTGCGAGATTTAAATTAAATTATTGCATAATCTTTTTCAATCGGAAGGCGTTTTAATGAGATATACACTCATATACGGTTTGATGTTTACTCTTTGATAACCTCAAATAGGTTCATTATAGGGTGAGGAACTCCCATGAATTAATTATCAGTTATTGTGTAATGTGAACACATGTTTCATGAATCTAATACACCATACAATTTTCCAATTATTGGAAGCTTTATGAACGTACCAGTTTCATAAGCAATTCCATCTTCTTCTTTGGCGGCAATTTTTGCATAAAAACTTTTGCTACCCGACACCAAGCTTTCTAACACAGTGAAGTCCCTGTTCTGAAGAATAAGCGAAATGTCACAATTAAAACCTTCTATAGCCATTTTGCCATTTATTCAAGGAGATTCAAGAATGCTTACTACAGAAGATCATAACGGATTTAGCAAAAAATGTTTCTTCTAGTTCTGCAGTCTCCATTCAATTTTGAATAGCCTGGATCAGTGTCGCCAATACAGTAAATATACATATGTACGTATGTTCTATTAAACCTATCTGAACTTACGTATGTGTGTACATATTTAAAAAATTAAAAGACGACATACGTCATTAATGTGTTATTGTCGATCATTATTTTTCATATGTCTAGAGCTGTTAATAATATTATCTCTTAATCTCAAAATTCAATTTCGTTTAAAGGAAATTCGTATGAACTGCCCCGAAGTTTGCTACATGTACCATTGGCATTTTTATTTCGAACATCTAATAGAATATTTGCTTTTCTTGGAAACAAAAAATTAAGTTTTTTTTTCAAATATTAACTTTCTACGATTATATTTATCGAATAAGACATACCAATTGCTATTATTAAAAAATTAAGTAAGATAAAAGAATAAAAATATTTAGTACGTCTTATTCGAAAAATATAAAGTTAATTATGCATGAAAACAAACCAAAGACACAACAATTGGTTACCCTACAGTAACCTGCTTCACTACCCTATATAAAAAAATTAATTATACAAGTCGAAACTCCTTTTTCAAAAAGTACCACATGTAATAAATTCCAATGTTGTTTATGAAAAAGTTCCGAACCTCTCTCTCTCTCTCTCTCTCTTCCTAAAGTAAAAACTATTCAATATAATAATCTGTAGAAAATATAAATTGCTTCCAGATTGAATGGAAAGTAGAACTCTTAATTAACATTCTATTATTGAATTTGTAATATTAAAGATAAGTCAGCTGACAATCTTTTATAGATATTAGATTTACATATGCATTTGTAGAGGTCGTTTACTTTTCCTTAATTATTTCCCAAATTAGAGAAATTTAATGCGCTATTTGCATTAGATAGCATGTCATGTAATTTATAATTTGTAGTGACGCACATATATTGTGACGTACCACCTATACATTATTCAAAATTCTCCGATTTTGTATAGTAAAGTAAGTACGTTTTTTTTATTGACACAGTTGTTATCGGTAATGACTCTGGTTGGTATAAAAGACCTCATAAATCCGAATTACGCCACACGATCTCCAAGATTCATAAAGAGCCTTTCATAGCTAGCATCAGTCAAAAATGATGTTTCGAATCTTGCCAATCTTCGCCATCTTGGCTGTTGCTCTGGTACGTTGTACATTGTATATTACAGAACATTTAAAATAATATAACTTTTAAATTCTCTCCCTCACATATAAATGTCACCTGTTTTATTCCCTCAATTATCATATTACTTGTTCTCATCAAAAATATATGCAAACTTATAAGCAATACGACTGTTTACTTTGAATAAATATTATGGCGGCATGTTCTCTACTTATTTAAATTCGGAATTATCTGTTTGATTCGTTTTAATGCGTTATTGTAATATTTTACAATATTTTATAATGCAGTATTTTTATAAACAATTACATTCTGTGGATATTAAGTAATACTTTCTTCGCCGAATTTTTTTTATGTATAGAATTATACGTAATAACGAAGTCCTAATTTTAATTAATTTATTGTGTGCAGGCTGTACCAGTTGCTAAAACCGGAACTAACTCCCCTGCGACCGTATGTATTATCTAATTTAATTTATGAATATATATAATCATAATTTATGAATATTAAGTAATACTTTTTTCGCCGAATATACATATATTACTATAATATAGAATAATAACGAAGCACTAATCTTAATTCATTTATTGTTTACAGGCTGGATCAGTTGCTAAAGTCGGAACTAGCTCCCCTGTCTCTGTAAGTATTATCTAATCATTCTTACACGCGTATATAATAAATTCTGTAAATTCTGTAATCTAAAATTATTAATACGTAGAACGTTTACGACTAACAAAGGTTTTCATTTAAATGCAAACGTGGTTAAAGAATCGCTTACACCATATTATTCACACAGAATGCACACAACTCCGGCCAAGATATCGTTGGAGACCTGGAGAAAATCATCGAATCCGCCGAGCATGCTATCGAACAGCAAATGAAGGAACTCGCTGACGAGTCTGCGAAGATTGTGCACAATGTGACCCACAATGGCTTCGAAATTCAAAATGCTACCCAGAGACTCATGGGCAATGCCACACGTTTGCTCGGGAAAATTCTGTGGGAAATCCGGGATGAAACTGCTAAAATCGTGGACGAAGCAAAGAATATGGTCGAGATCCAAATTAATCAAGCCGAGGCTGATTTGAGCAACTTGGCAGAAAAGATCGAAGGAGAGAATGCTACTGCCACGAATCAAACATCCGGCGTTGTCAAGGATGCCATTGAAAAGTTAGTAAATCTCATCAAAAACGGCGAACAAGCTCTGGAAGAAGCTGAAGCTGATTTGGCGAAATCCATAGCTCAGGTGCAGAATGATACCGTTAAGATCTTCAACGATGTTTTGGAAGGTGCGCACACAGCCTTACAGAATGCTCTGAAGAATGCTTCAGACTTGGCACAAGAGGCGAGTAAGGACGTTGCTGGTGTCCTAGAACATGTGAAGGACAACGTGGACAAAGTCGGGAATGAAACGAGAGCGCTCATGGGCGCAGTTGTTGACGACATCGAGAAAGTAATCGGTGAAATCAAACAGAACGTTACTAGCATTGTCGACAAAGTGAAAGACCTTGTAAATCAAACGATAAGTAACATTGAACAAGAAGCCGACAAGATCGCCAACGATGTCAAAAACAGCACTCAGGGTGTTGAGGATGAAATTGACAAAATTGTTGCCGATGTTCAGAATGAGCTTTCAACGATCGTAAACCAGACCACGGAAGGTATTAAGAATGTTACAGAGGATATTACAAACGAAATCGGTACAGTTGTTAATAGAGTTTCCGGTCTTATCGATAAAATTCTGGTATGCATTTTAAAGAACACAGACAACATCCTTAAAAATGCACAGGAAATCATTGACTCTATCCTGCATAACATCCAAGACATGACTAAGAAGGGCGGCGAGATTCTTCAGAATATAACACAGACGGTCGAAAATGAAATAAAGAACGTTGAGGGCAATGCTACCAAATTAGTGAACGACATAAAGGACAACGTTAACCAACAACTGCAAAACATCAAACACATTGTTGGCAATATCACGATCGGTTCCGGTAAGGTCAAGGAAGCCATAGAAAACAGAATTGACGAAATTGCCAAGAACGCTAACAAAACTTTGGGTGATATGGAAAACGGCATAAAGAACGTATTAGACAATCTAAGGAACAATACTGAGAACATCATTAACAACTTGAAGAACATCACAGAGTCTGGGGTTGGCAATATTTCGCAAAGTATCCCGAAAATTATGGAAGATCTTAAAAATGTCAGTCGTAACACTTTTAACGACATACGCTCCGTCACGGAAATCGGTTTGCACGACGCTTCGGTGATTGTTTCTAATTTAGCCCGCGTTGCCTCAGACTTTGCTGGTCATCTTGGAGAAGATGCTAACGATTTCCTAAAGGATGTTGCGTCTACCGTCCACAACATCACCGCCGGTATTTCAAACGGTATTCATAATATCTTGCACGGCGCGGTAGGGCAAGCCGAAAATGTCGCAGACCATGTTGTCAAGGGATTAGGGGACGCGGCTCAAACCGTTGGAAACGATATTAAGAACGTGGTGAATGGAACTGCTCATCTTGCTGGCAACTTGGTTCACAATGTCGCAGACGGTGTAAAAAATTTGGTGAACGTTACCGGACACCTTATCGGTAATTTGGCCCATGGTGTCAATAACGGTTCAAAGGATAATGTAAATGCTGATAGCCACAAAGTTGGTACCTCAGCCAATGCTATTGGAAACGGTGTAAGCAATGCTGTAAACGTTGGTAGCCATGTTGCCGACGATGTGGTCAAGACTGTTGAAGATGGTGTAGGGGGTGCATTAAAAACAGGTGCTAACATCATTGGAGACATAGGTAATGGGATTGCTGACCTGTTTGGTTAAATATTGAATGGGAATCATGCATCCAAGATTATCTGCGATGAAACAGCGACGTGAAGAACGGAAAACTATAGAACAATTAAATAAAATAGTTTTTAATCGTGGAAAATCAGCACCACGCTTCAGCATTAAATTTTTAATGAAACAAATAAACAACTGACCTGCCGAAGACTGATATAAGTTTGATTTAAATAAAAATTTATATATTATTCTATGTTGTAAGTAATGGTTATTTGTTGCATTAATAAAAAAAATAGAGTAAATAAAAAGTGTGTTCAAATTGGCCCTACAAATTTATATCACTGAAACGTTATATTAAATTGTAGCTCTGATGGGTGTTTATCATTCCAGCATGATTATTCTGTCATTTCTAGACTTCCATCTTCTGTCAATGTCAAACATGTACATATATTGGCTGGCCAGATGAAGCATTATCTATAATCAATGTTTATAATAAAATTTAGATTTTATTCAAATATTGTTCTATAAAAAAAATCCTTACCAGAAGATAAAATGTTTTGTATGGGTAAATATTCTGAATTCGATAATCTTATAACAGGTATGTTTTCATTATGATTTGAGAGTTGTGGCTGTGAATATGCATCAATTGTCATCAGTGGTAAGTTGGATTGCATAGATTATTCTAAGATTGGAATATTTATTACCGTTTCGCTAATATCCTTTATAAATAGTTCTGTAATAATATTTATTATATTTTAATAAGTTATATATATATAA